AATTATTTGACATATCTGATGTTACAACTGTTCAAAATTTTGGCCACCGACGTGTAAACACATTTGGGTCCGTCTTACTCAGTTTCTTCGATCTAACACAAATGCTGTCTTGTTTCACCATAACACAAACAATGCTTCACCATGATACAAATGTTTTCTTGCTTCGCCATAAATTAGAACGATATCAATCAACTCCGAGTTGCTATACACGCAAGCCATTTTTGACACTAACTACTAAAATACTATTGTAAACACTGTTGCAACAACGACTGTAAAATAAGATTTCAGTATTCGGAGTCGCTGAGGCCACGTGGCTCTCCACGCGTGTGACGAATGACGCTAGAGACTACAGCTGTCCAGCTATGTAATGCTTGAAAGTACGTTAATACTAAAATCGAATCGGAATCGCCTGGGGCTCAGTACACCACAAGTGGTTTCCTGATCTTTCCGCGCATCCTAGAAGCATGTGGATATTCTATCATAATAAAATTTATATACACACATATAGGTACATACACATGTAATATAAAATATATAAAAAGTATACACAGTAATACAAGACAAAACGAGAAAAGACTTGGAAATGATCATTGAAAAAATATTTCTTTAAAGACATTCTGAAACAATATAGTGACATTGATTTTAACTCGGACTTGTTGTATAATTTTACAATATTAAAAGAAAAAGATCGCTCAAAGAATGTGTCTTGGCATGGTTAATAAACCTTTGCTACGAATATTGATATTGTGTACGCCAGTTCCAAATGTTAATTTATTATAAAGATAGTGTCTTATAATAATTAATTTATAATAGAAGCAAAGAACATGATAATTTCTTCTTACTATCATCGACAACCATTTTAATTTTTTAAAGGAATTAGATATATGGCTAAACTTCCTTATACCACATATAAACCGAACACAGGCATTATACACTTTTTGTATTCTGTTACAATCGGATCTGTCTATACACTAATTATATAAGATAGCACAATAATTAAATTGAAATAGCATTATCTTGGTATCTTTAGTTAATGTATGTCTATTATTACATAACAATTTTAAATTACAAAAAGACTTTTTCAACATATGATTTACATATAGCCTATATCTTAGATTAGAATCCAGAATTAAACCTAAATTTCTTGCCTCCCTCGTAACATTAAGTTGCTCATCATTGATTTGTATGTTTATTAAATTTGTTACTTGATTAAGCTTATTTTGTTGACCTATTAATGAAACCGACGATTTTAAACTATTAAGCTTTAAACAATGATCAGCTGCTACTTCAGTTAAGACAGACAAATCAGCGTTAATTTTATCACAAGCTTTATTTACCTGTGAAGGAAAAAAAGAGTAACATAATTGCGTATCAACTGCGTAAAAATGGAATTTACAGTAAGTAATAAATATTCCAAAATTTAGCTTGTAAATAGTATAAAGAAGCGGTCCCAAAATAGACCCTTGAGGTACACCTGAACATTCTTACTTGATTTGATTGTCGATTATTATAAACGACTTGCTGCAACCGATTAGTTCAAAAATTCTTTAATAATGAAACCGCATTTGTCCTGAAACCTACAAAATGTGGAACTGAGAGTAATATATCATGATGAAGCGTATCAAACGCTTTGGTAAAATCCAAAAGTGTAAGCGTGTAAGTTATAATCTCATCAGTTATGTGAAGAAGAGCAGTTAAGCAACTGTGATTTTTCCTAAATCCCGACTGGAACACTGTTATTTCGTTATTGCTAAGATGATTTCGAATTATTATCCATTACTCTCTCCAAAACTTTAGATAATATAGTGTTAATTATTTCAACAAACGTGATGTTTCTGTCACTGTGAAGCATCATTAATTGAGGAAGTACGTGCTAAAACATTAAATTCATTTAGATTTACTGCTGAAACACTATGTTCAAATAAATAGGTAAAATATGCCTACCACTTCGAACTTTCCTCGTTCTTTTAAATTAAGCTAGCCAAGATTTTATTAAAGGTTTTTCTTTACATTATTATAAAAGCCCGCGATCTTCAAAATAATCTATGTAAATAAGGTCACTGATACAAATATTTGCCTCTTTTACCGTATTACCTTTTACAAAGTTACTACAAAAACATTCTTTCGGATAAAGTTCAGTTAATTGAATATTCAACATTTCTTGTAAGATAATTTATATTTCCCTTCTTTTACCGAGCTCTGCAAATATTCTGAGGGGGAATACATTGTGATCTGCTCTATTTTCTGATTAAATTGGCTTTCTTGTCTCAAAAGGAACAAAAAATTTCCCCTTCGACCTTCGTGTGGCAAGTCGTTGGGAAATTTCCGTAGCATTAATTGTATCAAAATTGGCAAGTAGAACCTCACAGTGGTAGTTTATTGTTAAGAATTATTATAAGGTTAATTAATTAAAAAACCAATTCTATTCTAAAATTGCATGTTTTTATTAAGAAAATTTGTTATTAATATCCAAATATCAATTTATTACATTATATTTAAATATTAATTAATTTCCTTTTGCTATTTTTATTTTTATTTTATGATATTGTAATATTGTCACCAAAATGTCTAGGTTACTATTAGAGATTTGGGTAAAAATTTTTTTAGAATAACGGAAACAATAATTTACTGCAGTTGTCACACAAATACAGCAGTATGGCATATAGTTGTAACATTTATAACAATTATTTTTATTTTATTTATGTTTAGAATACAGTATGTGCAGAGTAACAGCTGTTATTTGAAACACGTGTAGACTTTTATTTTATTATTCCAAAAATTTTGATTTTTATTTTGTTTTTGCCAAATTCTTGTATTGGTGTCAAAGGGGAGTGTTATGTTATAAATTAATTAAAATCGAAATATCAAGTAAATACGTGAATTCCAGCATTGAATTTATACAGGTAATGTTAAAAAGAAGTCTGGACTTTCTGATATTGTCTCAGTATATATTGTCAGTAAATATTGTTAATGTTAATGAGTACAATTCATGAAAATTTTGAAGAAAATTTTAAATTTTATTTGAATTGGTATTAAGGGCCCTATATACAATAAACTAAAGCGTTTAAATTTAATGAAGCATTGTCTCAACAATGTGTTATGGTAAAGTCTATTTACGCTAAGTTTATAATGGCGTCACATTTGGTAATTAAGTGCAAAATAATCTTAAATTCCTGCTCTGTATCCTATTAATTTTCATCAAACTATGATATTCTAATGTATTAAGTTTACTTTGCGCTTTAGGCCAGGCAATGAATTAAAATCATTAAAATTAATCGATCGCCTTTTGTGTATTCGAATCGATTGAAAGCTTATAAAAAAATTTTCACAACTAATAAATAATTAGAGTAACAGCCTAGAATATTAAGAATGCAATAAAACTTGTAGAATACTCAAATTTCTAAACAAAAGGAAACGATATCTACAAATCATTCTTATTTTTGTTGCAATAACGTGTTGTTTTTTCTTCAAAGGATCTATGCAAAGAGTTACGCTTTCGTTTAGTTTATCTATTTTTCGTTTCTCTTTTTAACAACCAACAAAAATCGGCCATCATGTTTTCATCTTATCTTCCTTGATATAGCTCTTCTATAACCTTCATATCCTGATGAAATCGTTCGCCTTGTTCTTTGCTGTAATGTCCAAGATTTTCAGGAAGCCAATCCAGATGTGAATGAAGGAAGTGCAAATTGTAGTTCATCAAACATCCCAGATCTTGGAAGTCTTTTATCATTTTCGATACAATTTCTTCGTATTTAGGACTCTTGTTGTTTCCTAAAAAAATTTCGCCCTATATAGGTTGAAAATTTCCGAATATTTCTGAGGCGAAATTGAAAGAAGGAATTCGATGGACCTCAGATTAGGACATTGTTCAAGGATGCAACATTCATCACTACAATGAGTAGAGTGCTTGGACTAGTTTCAAAGCTGTAGCGACAAATTTTTTAGGAAACAGGAAGAGTCCATACAAAGAAATTATATCAAAAATGATAAAAGACTTCCAAGATCTGGGATGTTTAATGAATTACAAGTTGCACTTCTTTCATTCATATCTGGATTGGTTTTCTGAAAAACTTGGATCTTGGCGAAGAACAAGGCGAACGATTTCATCAGGATATGAAGGTTATAGAACAGCGATATCAAGGAAGATGGAAAATATGATGGCCGATTTTTGTTGGTTGTTAAAAAGAGAAACGAAAAACAGAAGGACCAAACGAAAGCATAAGCCTTTGCATAGATCCTTTGAAGAAAAGAAAACACGTTATAGCAACAAAAATAAGAATGATTTGTAGATATCGTTTTCTTTTGTTTAGAAAGTAGAGTATACTACAAGTTATATTGCATTCTCAATCTTCTAAGCTGTTATCACATCTCTCAGTACAAAAAGTAGATGGATAGATGGGTGGATGGGTGGGTTTTATAGGTGGTACAGGTGGATGAATAAATATGCGTTTTCATGCATGAACGACTGGATAGAAAAATGTATGAATTCATAAATGGATGGGTGGATAAAAAGATGGATCCAGAACTCTGCAACACGAATTATGCCATGAAAATGGCGTTTTTAATCTATTTTCTGTTTTTGAATGAATTTGGACCAGCTTGTCCAACTCTATGATGATAAATTGGAATTAAACGAGTGAAAAATCGTCTAGTGAAATTTCCCTAAAACTCAGACCCGTTGGGCCAAATCTGAAGGTAGTTTCGGATTCAGCGAAAAAAAAAATACATGGAAATACATGGGTTTGAATACCAGATCCGATACTTTTTATTTCTTTGTGGAGCTGTGTAATTAATCACTATACCTCAAATTTCACATGCTCCATTTTAATATGAGTGGTAAATAAAGGCAATTTTTTTGTTACAATTAAACAGATTTTCCGGCGGAAACCTTCCCAAAACTGCTAAATAAACAACCTCACGGGGCAGGGGTCTAAAACATATAATCTCTTTTCCAGACACAATAAATGATAAATCGCCTTACGCCTTTTTTGTTCCAGGAAATTAGCCGATATCTCACGATCTACAAGGGGGGTTGTAACCCTCATGAGCGACCGATCGAGCGCCATTAGGATCCTGGACGACGCTAAACGTCTAAATATGATGGACGGTCACTTCGTCTGGCTCTGGATCGACACCGCGGCTACCATCAACCTGAAAAACGTTACGGACGACGAGAGGGACCTCAGGGACAAACCGGAGGAGCGAGTCAGACGCAGCAGTAGCTTAGGGCAAAGTGATATAAGTGATATGCACATAAATTATTTGTTAAAAAACGACCAGTTTCTTTTGTTTAGTCGTACTCATGGCGTTGAAAGTTCTAAATTAAAAGACCAAGACCGCCGGTCTCAACACCGCCCGCGCGCCGGCGGGTCCGGCGAGAGCTCGGGGGAGCTGCCCGCGGGGCTCCTCAGCCTCAAACCGCTTTCCGTTAAAGTGGATAGACACCTGGTTAAGGGTGCCGTAAGGTTGTTAGTCGCGGCTCTAAAACTTGTGATAGGACGATCACCTGAGTGGATGTTGAACAATTTCGTGAACGGACACCTGACCAATAACTGCTGGAAGAATGTGGCCATCAAAGAAAATAGTTTTATAAGCGAATTCGCAAGGTAAGGGTTTATAAGCTTAATATTTAGTTTGTACGGGTAGGAACAAATTCGACAATTTTAAGTAATTTCTCGTATTTCGCGAAGAGGTAGACACAATGTATGCAAGACGTAATGGGCTCGATTTTTGAGAAAAAGTGAACCATGAAAACTTCATCCTAATCTTTAGATTTGTTTAAGGACATTTTCATTTTTAGTCCTTTTTCTTTTTGTGGTGTTAAACATTTTTGTTTGTGAAAATATTTGATTTTCGCAGAGATTTTTTATGCAATTCTTTGCGTACAGTCTAGTGGCGTACGCGATATTTTTCCGTAAATTCCGGTTTTTCGGTTATAATCCAAACATATTTTTCTAAACCTAATACTAGATACCGTGGGATGGGGTTACTTTCAATTTCAGGGGCTACTTTGACAGAAACATTGACGATCTTATTTTATATTCTTCCTTCCGACATTTCTCGAGATATTAGGCAGATATCATAATATGGCAACTCCACATAGTTAACGCGATCATGTCTAATCGTTTCTCAGTGAACGAGTGATGTTTGGAGAGTGTACCAGGCTTTTATTTGAAAAACGATATTTTATCCCTTTTTTGAAGCCAATATAACTTCAAGCACACAAGAGAAACAGGCACTAGGAGTAAAGTAATATATAGTCTTTGCTGTAAAACCAGGTTAACCCATTAGGATATTAAAAACTGAAAAATATTGCATAGTAAATATGGCCGAAAATTTAAATATTCTGTCGTGGTTAACTTTGATCGATGTAGTGGGGCAATTTTGAAAATTATCAAAGTCTTCGAAGTATATTTAAGTAATATAAGATTTAAGTTAGGGCAACCTATTCTTAATAGAAGCTGTTATTGTTTTGGTGAAAACATTATTTAAAGAACTTACAACTGCGCAAGGAAAAATTGTTATTTTTTTTATTGCAAAATATTATATTTATATTTACTTTACATTTGTATAAGAGTTAAATAATATTTTTGTACCGTAAAAGATAATATTTCCTTAATATATCACTAAGTTTCTAATTTCTAGTGTCTTAATGCCATTTATAAGCNCTTTACATTTGTATAAGAGTTAAATAATATTTTTGTACCGTAAAAGATAATATTTCCTTAATATATCACTAAGTTTCTAATTTCTGGTGTCTTAATGTCATTTATAAGCTCAATTTTTTTCTTGTCATTCAGTGAGATTGTTTCTGATATATATTTTTCGTACCTGCGTAAAAATAAGGGGTTACTTGTCAAATATCATGAAAATTAATGAGGTGGACAAAGTAACCCCGCTCAGAGTTTAACTTTGTTTTAGTCTTCAAGAATTAATTTTTCAAAAACTAACATATATTTTAGCAAAAACTCTGGACGAACCGATAGCTCGGACAAAACCAATATTGAGGTTATATTTATAACAGATTTGAGACTAATACAAATTAAATATTATTCGACAACTTTTTATTTTTAGCAAAGTAACCACATCCCACGGTACATAGTGTTTACAAACTTGGCGAAAATTTTCGAAGAATACATAAATCGAAATACCTATAAATATTTATTGGAAATATAAAATATTTTTTTAATATCAACTGACTTGCTTCGATAATACTAAGAAACATTTTTGGAATCGCTGACTCCATCAATAGCTCGACTTGTTCTGTTCGCAGATATTACACAAATTGTTGAAGATAAATGTATGCAGTAAAATCACAGTTTTGTCCAATTATTCATTTTTAATATACCTATTGATGAACTATTGTGGAATATTTATTCGCACTTATTAATAAATATGACTGACTTGCTTCGATAATACTAAGAAACATTTTTGGAATCGCTGACACTATCAATAGCTCGGCTAGTTCTGTTCCCAGGTATTACACAAATTGTTGAAGATATATGTATGCAGTAAAATCACAGTTTTGTCCATTTATTCATTTTTATTATACCTATTGATGGACTATTGTGGAATATTTATTCGCACTTATTAATAAATATGACAGACTTGCTTCGATAATACTAAGAAACATTTTTGGAATCGCTGACTCCTTTAATATCTCGACTAGTTCTGTTCGCAGATATTACTATTGTGGAATATTTATTCGCACTTATTCACACCTCAGATAGTATGCATTTTCACAAAAGGAAACATAGTTAAAAGTAAGACAGAAAAATAAATTACTCCACTTAAACATCTTTTTACTAATAACACCGGCCAACAAAAAAAAAGTTACGTGAACTTTACATGCGGCATATGATTTCCTGTGTATTTTTGTCTCCTGGGCACGAATCCATAGTCTGTTTTGCTCCATCACCCTTCAGTTTTCCGTAAATCGCTGAATATTTTCAGAAAATCGCTAAAAATCTTCAATAAAATGGAGTTTAAGAAATGACGAGACCTTAACACGTGACATATGTTTTTCGACGTAATTCTATCTCCTGGATCCGAATCCGTTGTCAGTATTACTCCATAACCCCCTAGGCTTCAAAAAATTGCTGAAGATTTTCAGAAAAAGGGCGAAATTTCAGAAGCGACGAGATCTTGACATGCGGCGTATGGTTTCCCGTATATTTTTGTCTCCTGAACTCATGGTCATCGAAAACCATGAGTGATTTTTTTAGATCTTCATCGATTTTTTGAAGACTAGACGATGATGGAGCAAATCTGACACTTTTTTGTTCTGTTGGCCGGTGTAATTTTACCAGAAACTAAAAAAAAACTAAAGTAGAACTGATAATAACCTAATATTGAAATTTTTCTGTTCGCTACAAAAAAAAACGAGTCAATAAAGCAGAAGGTGCCACGCAATCACTTTTTTATGGAGGTTCCAGAGTTTCTCCATAAGTTTTAACAATCTTTATTATTTAATTATAATTGAATTTAATGCACTTTTTGCAGTTTTATCAGCTTAGATTATTGAAAATATTAATTTTTAATTCGTTCTACTTACCGCTAAACAATCTCCTTCAAATTTTTAAAAACTCTTATATTTTTCCATATTTAAAATTTGACTATAATTTCTCATATAATAATATGATATGACCGCACACGATGTTTACACAAAAACATTTTTTTATGTATTGTACATGATTTGAAATATAATTTTACTCAGAAATAAAAAATATGGAGGGGTGTAACTTTTAAAAACATATGTGTGTTATAATTAAAAAACCGTAAGTTACAGATAAACATTGTGCTGCTACATTCTATTCTATTCATAAGAAGAAACATATTTTCACAAATCAGGAAGCTATTCAGCATCACGAAAGAACGATAAAAGTAGAAAAGACCTTGCATCTCTTAAATTAGGCAAGATATGGAAGTGCAGTTTTGACGAACCAGCTTTTCTGGAAAATTGTCTTTCTCACTAGTTTATTTTTTCTGGAAATTCGAGAAACTTTCCCAAAATTATCGAATTTGGCCCATCATGCATATAAAGTAATTTCTAATATTATGTCCCGAAGAAGGAAAATGTTTCTATTTGTCAATTTCACAAAAAATTATTTTTTTGATTTATAAAATTTTCTGCCTATACTTTTCATGAAAATTAGGGTTATTTTATTTACGTGTTCAGTTTTTAGAAAAATCTAAAAGATGCGTGAACCTCACTTTTTTAAATAACGAAATTGCCACTGAGATATATTATTAGGATGAAGTTGCATTTGTGTTTTTTTTTAGTAATTACCTCATTTCGTTCACTTGGGAGGTTTAGACATAATCATAAATACTATACTAAATAATGAAATGATACATAGTTAATTAGGTAATAATCCTTTCAGTTGAACTTAAAATTAAAAAAAAAATTGTTAAAGTAAACCTTGAAGAAAATAAGAAAACTATGTTTTAAAATTATTTTGATATATTTATCTGTAGGTCGATATACGAAAGCATATGGTATTTCAGCTCATCTTAAAATTCTGCATGTAATATGGCATAACATGCTCTAATTTCTATAGCGATGTTGCCAAGTATAGAAAAAATAAATTTTGCTGAAAATATGGTGTGCCAGAACTTGTAATTTTAAAATGGTAATGGTTAGAACCAAAATATTTAGTCGTAAGGTAAATGCTAGTCAAACATTAAGAATCAGTTAAAAAATTATTTCTTATACAGGGCATTTTATATAGACTTGCCAAGTGTACAAATTACAATTCAAATGTTCCTAACCTTATTTAATGGTATCATTTTATATACCTCTTTATTTTCTTTAATTTTTAACAGGTAGTTATTTTCGCAAATTATGGAAGTACACAAAATATCCAAGAAACATTGAAATGTACTCGTTATCTACAGGAGAATAAAAATTTCACAAATAAAATTTTTTTAGAAAATTATTTTTTATTAGAAAATGTAAATTAGACAGTCGTAGGTACTATTGGCATAAAGAAGAGCAAAGAGAAGGGAAAGCCAAATCACAACACACTTTTTATTATTTTCTTACATATTGAATCTCTAGCTAAAATTTAGTTAGTCTCGTTTATTTAACTGCGTCACTAATTTTAGTACCTACATAGTTTTCTTGTCTCCATTACCTTTTGTATCAACACTTTTGATAATAACAATGTCGTTTCTTACAAAACACCCCATATATACAGTTCCTACTTTTATATATTTTAATAATTATTATTATGAAATTCAATTACGTATACAGTGTGGATACAAATTGTGGAATATTGCTAATATTTCTTAAAATATTCGTTATATCAAAAACATGTTTTAATAAAAGTGTTAGGGGAATTATTTCCCGTTTAGTGATATCAAGCAATCTTTCGTAGCACAAAAAATGTGGTTGCCAAGGTAACCGACTTAATTTTTTTAAACGGCACCATATACTTTTTTTGAAGAAAATTAATACATTGGACCTTCCTAAATACGATACAATACAATTTTAATAAGAAAAAAATAGTAAATTCAATTTTTACAATTTTATTTTATGTCGTAAGTAAGGAGTCAAAAAATCAAAAGACGCTTATTTAAGCTAATTTTAATAGGATAAATGCAA